CAGCAACAGCAACAGCAACAGCAACAGCAACAGCAACAGCAACAGCAACAGCAACAGCAACAGCAACAGCAACAGCAGCAAACAGCAACAGCAAACAGCGATAAAACAACAACAGCGACAACAACAACAACAACAGCAATAAACAGCAACAGCTATACACCATTGCTATTACTATCGCAATTCTTTCATTACACTCCATATCCTTGTTGATAGAAATATCCATCTATAGTGATAATCATGTCAGCTGATAGAATTACCGTTATCTGTTTGTGTTATATTATTGACATCACTGCACATAGTGAGAATAAGGAGATAATTTATTATTATCGTGGGAACATTAGAGGACGTTTAATCCTAATGCAGCCTACGCACCTTAATAAGATGCAGCAGCATCTATAACTCTCTCACAATGATGCTGATAATATCTACCATCAACAAACAAACTTAAACCATATTAAGCAATTCGACGGGGGGCTAATGTATAAATGCTATATGCATATTCTATCTCGTGTTACAACGAGTTTACACATTTATATACGCAAGTAACAGTATTTGCATTACACATATTGTTATCATTGCATGCAGTTCGATATAATGTATAGCGTAGTATTAGAATTCGCTCAAACAGGAGATTGGCGTATCGATTACTGACCAGAGTGCAGCTAGAATGTTTTACCGCAGATTAGAATTGGTCGAACAACAAGAATCGAAGGAAGGAAAAAAAAAAGTTTATCTGAATGAAGGTTGCAAAATAGGAGGGATTTAAGGAGAACTTTAGGTTAGAACGCTGAAAAAACAGTGGATGGTATGTGAGAATGGAACCTTTTTCGCTCATGTTTATAGTTTGGTGTGATTTTGTGTGACGTGCCAACGCCCCATTCTTCTGAATTCTATACAGTGGAGGAAAAACTGTCGCAAGTTTATCCGAATATTGCGGTTTCTATATGCAACTACTACAAGTTATAGATCTGATAAAGTTCCATTGCTCGCTGAAAAGGGCTTTTTCCATCCGACTTGATCGACTAGAATGTTTTAATCGACCTTTCTTGGGCAGATAGAAAGCGATTTCCGTTGTTCCAGTCCATATTTTTGAGTTTACATTCTCGGCAGATTCTCAGTGCTTAAACATATATTTGTTACACATACATAAATTTTAAGATCCGAATCTGTAGGAATAGTCTTTGCGTGTAGAACACTATCTAATTAACGCAAGTTTGCCTAGGAGGGGGGGAGGAGGAAAGGTCAGTGGTAAAATTCCTGTACTGATGTGATATAACGATGACTGTTTATTTACCAATGGGGGTTTTTTCGGTAACGAGCGATTTTTGAATGTACATTGAGCGAGTAATTTGTTTAGTTTATTTTTTGACATGATGATAATCTGTAATATAAACCGTTATTTACTTGTGTATTGTATATATTGTATATATTGTATATATACGCTATCATTTACGTTGATGGAATACAGGATTTTTGCGCCAAACAACACCATACAAGTTCGTGTTATTGCCATAACCTAACATTATTTACGTACTACAACTCTTGTGTTTCCTTCAGCGTGAACCAATCAACTAAATGATGATGGTTATAGTGGCTACTAGTATGAAGAACACAGTGAATGAAACTACATTATGAGTGATATATTGTACCAATAGATATACGAACACCTCTTACTATCAAGTTATTGCAACTTGATTAAACCATAAATCGCATTATTAGTATTACCATTAAACCCTTAATCTTGGGGCAGCATTATTTGCACAAATTTATCCCCTGCTTGCCAGGAAATTGACGTTTTTCGTACTCGTCCAAATTGGGTATTATTTGTTATAATTTGGTTATACAGAACATTTAACGTTCAAGGTAAAATTACTGATAAGTAAAGTTACCCCATAAATCATTTGTATGTCAATTCTGCTTGGGGTAATTGCCTATTACTATTTATTCGATCTGGATTTAACAATACATCAATTGTCTTGATAAGAAAAAAATGTGACCAAACTGACCAAATGACCGACTGACCGAGTAATACACGCGCTAAACAGTTTCAAATATTATGGCGGTGTGATACTTGGCTTTCGTGGGGGGTAAACAATATAGAATCAATGTTTTTTTTCTTTATGATCAGTTGGTTATCACCTACTTTTGATATCATCAAGATATTTCCCGGTACGTCGTGTTCTCAAGCAGCGAAATGTGCATATAAAAGAGAAATTCGACGTGTTTCGATCACCCCGTCCACGCGTGCCAATATTGCTTCTTTCTCACCACATCCTCGACAACCAGGAGACGATAATCATATCTTTCTCAATTGGTTGCCCAGTGCGTTTAAGGGATCTGTCATTAAATTTGTTTGTTTCGCATTTGTTTACGCTATATAATATTAATCCGCTTTTGGTCATTATTTGTCAAAATAGTTATTCAAGTGATCAATCGCAATTTGCCCCAACTGTCAGTCATGGGTGAAGTCTCTCTAAAAATCTTGGCCATCTCAATGTCACAAAAAAGCTGCTGGTAATGAGTTGCCTTTAACTTGCGCAGAATTCCAGCTAATCACCCCGATACAGTTCATACGTGTATCTAAAGGTACGATTCACGTGATAAATTTATTATTTAATATTATATTACTATTATATAGGTTTATTATTATTTCTTTCAGCATAGCTTATTAGTTCTTTCATTTTCTGATCTGCTTTCTCCGATTGCCACCCCTTTATTCCTACAACTCTCTTTAATTCCGCAGCTTGTCTATCTTTCATCATAGGACTGAAAACTTCATTAGACAATAAACTCATCATCACCCTAGATACCATTAATACACTCATTCCAATACACGCGACTGAAATTTCCTCGACACGATAATTGCTTAGCAACATTCCGTATGATATCCATTTAATAGCAAATATTCCAATACCAAGATGAAACGTGGATTTAAAAAGAGCAGCCCTGCGCATCGATTTGATAATTGTATCGGTGCACACTTCAGTTGCATTCAATGCCAAGCCATAATTACCAGACGACATGTAAGACGCGATTAACCGTTTATACGACTGACTATCAGGCGTCAGGCCCATCGATCGCATTTGATGGAGAACTTGATGCGCTAATGAATGGCGATTACACTCGACACATACGGCAATATATGCATTATACATGGCAATGGTGTGGGAAAGCGGATTCACTCTGGACATGATGCTCTGTGCGATAGAGAGAATGTCGTCTGACGTATCGTACCGTGTTGGAACATTGCAGGTTGATCGAACACTAGATTGCGTCGGTGCGTCTAGCCAATATTGCTTCATGTCATCAGAAAGAGATTGATATCGATAACCAGAAGGCGGGCAGGCATAACTGAAATCATTTCTAATGGTAAGCACATCGCTGATACAATTTTCATCGTAGACATGATTATATCGTTTAGCATTTGTTTCACGATTACCATTCGTAACGTTTTCTTCTCTCTGCCTTTTCGTTGTCTGTATTCTCGCGCATGCCTCTAGCGCCGCTATGATAGCCAGTTCGTGGGGTTCAGAATGCTTATGAAATAGTCTATCGACTACTGCCCGCAAGTGATTAGAATCCTTGCAATGATGAAATGTCCAGCGCCAACTTTCTCTTGAAGATAAGGATCTCTTTACCGTGTCAAAAACAGAACGGTAAGATGGTACTGATGACAAACGAGACCATATCGAATGCGTTGTAGAGAGAATGCTTTGTTTGTTCATTACAGTTGAGAAACAACACACGGCCGGGTTGTTAAAACTTTTAGCATAATAGTGTGTGTTCCAATGAGGAATTCCTTGTGCATAAAGTTTGAAAAGACTACCATAACGGTTTCTTATTGGGTGTTTGATGACTATTAATGACATTTGTTCATATTTCGTTCTGTAGGATCATACCGAGAACAGTTTCATGATCGGATCAGTGTTTTGCTCACGGTGAATCTTTGTGATACGACTGATTTTGAGATCGCCAGATGTTTGGAGAGCAAAAAATAAACGAGCTTGTTAAAGCGAAATATTGATTAAACGCCCGATGATCTTGACATACTCGCGAAACATTTGCCGGTTTCAACTTTCTGTCTCTAATAAACATCAATTACGTTGTTTCTCAAATACCCTTATTCGTTCCAACAATATCGAGTCAAGCGCTAACATAGATTCATCTTTACTTATATCACAATGGCACTCTAGCATTTCTGCTTGCAGCGAAACTTCTTACGATACGATTACTCCAACGCCTATACATTTATTGAATTTAACACTTGACCGCCCCGAGTGCGAGGTTCTTCCTACACCATCCACGCCCATACATCCTAATTATCATTTAGCATATTTTCCCCCTCGCGTCCCTGAGCGCAAATTGGGATTCGATGGATCTTTCACGACATTTGTTCCCCCACATCCGTTCTGTCGGCGAATGTGGGCAGGAGGAGAACTGCTTTTTTCGAAAAATCCGTTAAGAGTAGGAGACAACGTGAAATTGATTGAAAAGTGTAGTAATGTCGAATTGAAAAGATCAAGCAGCAGGAAACAAGAATTGGTATTTGTCTGGGAGGATAGAGACATTTACAATGAAAAAGGTTGGAGTCTTAAAGATAAGCGTGGTTTTGTTTATAGGAAGGAGGAAGAAGGAAGAGCGAATAGTACAAAGATCGTGAAAGGTAAAGATTGCTGGCTGAGTGTGTTGTTAAAAACTCAGAATAATATAAACATCATGGTGATTGGAATGTTCGTTTACAAATGTGTTTCCATCAAAGTGATTAGTCACGATAAACGTCTTTTTAATTCTTAATCAGTTGCTAAGAAACCAGATTTCTCCAAAGTAATAAACCCAACTTCCATCCTACTTTTCCGATACTCTGCTATCACATTCAACAGCCATCTTATTCATTATGATCACGTCTACGCAACTCAGGTAGAAGGATACAGAGGCGAGTAGATTGTCATAATATCCTTTGGCCATAAATGTTTATTAATATGTTTTCCATTTTTTTCTCTAGGCTGTCTCGTCCATGGCCCATTGACTTGCACACTCCTCCTTGATCTTCTTCGTGACAATCTGCCAGCCGACAATTGGATAAGTGAATTCAAGTATAGAGCAGTCAGTCCACTGGTAGTAAACGAGCCGTTCAGAGTGTGTGGGAAGAAACTGGAAAGTGTGAGCGAGAAGGGGGTTTCAGTATACGAAATGTGGGCCGAGACAGCACTTGGCGGAGTAGCAATGAAGGGCAGCGCTATAGTCAACATTAACTAAACTAAAGAGGTGTCACCGACGGTCGCACCACCGGTGTTCGCAAAGCTTGGTCATAAATATTGGTTTAGTTAGCACCCATTTTATTGTATCCGTCTAATAGATCCAAACACTCATCAATCCCTGTGCTCTGTTGTATATGTATTATCTCTCGTGATATACATTTAGTTATAGTTCTCAACACAGTATCACGAGAGAATTCTGTCTTAGATTTTAGTAACCCCCCACCCGCATACCCATCGCTCCAATTAACATTAGTTCTACCAGGCGATATTTTATAGACAACATCATACAGTGTTTCCTGTAATTCGTCCAAACTAATGTTCATCGGGCGACTAGCAATGGCAACGCAGTATGGGGTGAAGAGTGATTGTACATCATTGGCGCTTCTTATACTCGAAAATAAATACTTTATCGTTCTATTATTAGGGACAAGAGATCTCGGCAACCGATAAAATATTGAAAGCACGGATGACCTCAGCTGCTCAGACGACATGGCATTAATAAACGAATTAGCGAGAGATATGTCAACCGAAACAGCCCCCAATCTACTTGCAATCAATCCCTCGATTGAAGCAGATTCGGTTCGATATCCCAAGTCCCTACAAACGATCATGTTATATAGATTCATCATAACATGTGCATCTCCGAGTCTCCCCACGGCCATCAAAATCGTATTCAGCAGCCACATTGGCATAATTTCATTTCTTAGTCGAAAAATTATACCAGGCAGCGTGGCGAAAAAGAGATTTCGTTCAATTAGATTAACTTTCTCCTGTTCTGAAAAGATCTCGTGACTTCTTCCAAAAGCATTAAGGATGCATTTATATACTCTGAGTCTGGGTTCAAGATTGTTCTCCCACATCTCCCGGATCAAACGCGTCCCACCTTGTACATTCCCATAATGTCCACACGCCTCAATTAACTCATTATAAACACCCACAGCGACGTCATCCGAACTAGACACTTCCCTCATTCGTAAAAAATAATCGAAACACTTGACAAATCCTTCTCTATGGTTCATACTAGACGCGTTAAAGCTTAGCCTTCGACATGCTTTCATGAATTCTACTTGTGTCGTATGATCAGTTTGATATCCAGCATCAATAATGAGTGACCAAAGCTCATCCAGTTTGGCAAGTTCTGTACAGTGGCGTAATAGAATAACAAACGTTTGTCCATTTGGGCCCAATTTCAATCGCCTTATTGCATCAATTACAAAATCGGCCCTTTTCTTAGACTCATTATCATTCATCGCAAGACAGGCCTGTATGAGAGTATTCAGAGAGGCTGCATTAAGTGTTCGTTTTATGAATAGCATCCTCTCAAGAATAGCAAATGCGAAATCCAGGTTTTTAGTCTTTGACATTGCGTTCAATAGGATCTTGTGCGTTACTACGTCGGGCATCTGCTTATATGATGACATCATCTCATAAACTACAGAATATGATGATACCATCAATAGAATCAAAATTAGAGCAAAACGGCAAGTTTAATAAAACTAAAACTAATACCTTTGGTTGCCTTCTTCACCATTCCCTTTTTGACATAGATCTTGATCAAAGTATTCCATACAATAATGTGGTGAGGCGAATTGTCTCCTTTGGCCGTAGCTTCACGTACGTACTTAGCAAACACGGCCTCGGACAGATCAAGCCGATCACAATTAGAGCAGTCTTTCATCAGGCATGAAACTAGCCTCACGTAGAATGGATGATTACGATACTCGGCACTAACAGCTGCATAAAATTCTAAAGCCTCCGTGTCATTTGTCTTATCGCGCGAGAATGTAAGATTACGTAGTGCATTAAATGCCTACAAACACATTAATATCGACGAGAATTATAGATTCTTTTAAACGGTCTGATATATAACGTAATCAGTGTTTCGGAGAACGAACCTTACTTTGGCTGCATCGGTATTCTTTTTTCTCCTGCTAACATTATTCTCACCATTAGTGCTGACAATCTGCTTAAGAGCTTTTAGAAAGAGCCTTTGATTCGGCAAACATTGATCCTTTGTTTGAACAGCCTTGACTGGAACAGGAATTACATGTGCAGTGTTGCCGAAGTAATGGCTTCCATCGGTATACACATAAGTATTCTGTAAATAGAGTTCTCGCTTGTTGTAGATGGAAGAGTGTTTGGCAGGCTGGGGATCGACGAACAAACCGAAAGAAAACGGTCGACGAGAAACACGCATTATGTGAACAGCATTTAAATAAAATAATTAGCAATAGTATCCCTATTTATATGTCGATACAAGAATGCAGTAAATTTTACCTACTAAAAAAGTCGTGGCAAAAAAAAGTGTTGCCATCACTGACCAATCAACAGAAAAACCTAATGCTAATTATTATTATATAGTGTGACACGAAAATTATTGATAAAAAATTTAATCGACCAATGTAAAAAATAGTAGTAAATATCGAATCCATTTTTATCCTTAAATTTTTTTCTTCCATGAATTTTCAATACCAAAATGACTGCAACTGACCTTGAAACACAATGCCAAACCATATTACACTATTACTATTGGAACTAAGGTATGCATTCTGCAAAAGAAATACATATTTTCATCAAAACCCCCATCCCAACTATCTATTACAACCTCCAAAAGTTGGGAAAAAATAGGGCTATAAAGCAAAGAAGTATACTGGCCAACCATCAATTATTACAGCATATGCATTGGCCACTACCACTACGTACGATGTAATATTAATCCAATTGAAAAAAAAACTGCCGAGTTCATGGAATATGATTTCCAAAAACTACGTAATTAATTAATGAGAGATAGATGTACGCCTATAATAGAGAACAAATTTCATATTAAATTTTGTAATAAATATCCCTATTGTAAGCTATCAAACGAGGTATTAATGATAATAATCGGTACAGTCGTTGGCTGGAAATATCTTTTTTTTTCTATTATCTATAATTTTGTGTTACACTGTATGTGTAATAACTATGAGCTTCACCTCCTAGCTTTTTGGCGAGGGTAACATAGACTGGATTTTGCAAGAAGATAACAATCCCAAGCACTGCAAAAAATGGGTACTTCCTTAGCCATCAATGTTTCCGGATCAAAATGTGTGGCGCCTATGAAAATTATTATATAGAAAAAAGGGTTGAAGGAAGAACTTGCAAAGAATGGAACCGTTTCTCTCCTGAGTTAGCGGCAAAATTGAAACGTCGTATAATCGCACCATACAATGTAGATCGTTACTGTAATTAACAATTGAAAATAGAATAATAATCAAACGTTAGAACTTATTCTACTTCTATTTTAATTAACAAATGCTTTATTACAAATGGGTATTAGTATTATCGCTGTTGAAATTTACGAGCAGTTTAAGATAAATGTCAATAAAGACAGGGCTAAATGTTGTGAATGTAAAGAGATGTTGTCAATTCCTTTTGTGCCAAGTCAAAAAGCTATTCCAAAACAAGTTTAAAAGAATTAAAAATAGCAAAGAAAATTAAATAAAGAATATGAAAGCAACCCGTCAGCGGCGAATAGAATTTAATCTTGCCGATAAATTCTATTTGGTACTTTTGCAATAGGGTTATTGTTTAATTAATAGTCGACACTATAAATAGTATAATTCCCCGTTCGATAGAAGAAAGTAATTGAAATAAATTAAAAAAATATAGTAAAGGTAATAGGAATAATGGAAAAGGCGGTTCTTTCGGAATATTTTCTTTTTCAGATGTCTCTTTATTTTCTTCTTGAGGGATTCCCCAACGTTCAAACTGTGGCCCGACTAACATACAATTAACGGCAAATCCGTTTACGAGAAAAGATAAACTATCCTTCAACGTAAATGTTCACTAATATCCTTGACCATATTGTGCCTAATAAAATTGCCAATATTGCTATACGACAGCTAAATGACAACAACTTTCGTTAGCATTCGCCTGTCCAGTAATGCCCAGCAATTGTCAGTAATCGCCAGTAATCGAAAACCTCTTCTCTATCACTAGAACTGCTCGTACTTACTAAAAGAGTAACCGAAACTGTACAGGAAGCTGTAAAGTGTTGAGTGCCGACGAATAATCGCAGAAGTTTATAGACTTGGTTGAGTTTTCGAAAAATTTCGCAGTCAAGTGACTGTGTGTGTACAGAATTTCAGGTGCTTCTAAATTGCATCTTTCACAAAAAACATACATACAGAAATCGCAAGTTCATAAATTAATTATTACTAATATTACATGATCAAACAGCTCGAAAGGAAATAAGAGAACGACTCCTTTCTAAGGTAAAAAGTAGCAAATAAATCTATAGGTGTGATACAATTTTAATTTCACGTATCGATTAGATCGAGCATTACTTCCTTGTAAGATAATCGGACAAACAAATAGGAAATGGAATTCTGAACGTCGTCTGATACTAATTAAATTTAGTATTAGTAGATTTCCTGAGTTAAGCAATATACGTCAGCGGACAATAACAAGAATGTAGTTAGACTGCGTCAAATAGCAAATAAAGTGTGCTTTGTAAAAAACAAAACAGAAGTGTACCGCAAGATCTTACAAGGCTAATGTAACTGTCTAATAAAAAATATGTTGTTGCGTCATTATCTTCCAAGCGTTTATAAAAATAAACTTCGACGTAGCTGACTGTAAGTAAATGTATTCAGAGGGTTTCATTTCCAGGAGTTGACAAAATTCCCTTTCATTTGTATGTGTGTAATTTTCCCAAAATAAATCAATTTATACCCTTTCATAATGACTTCAACCATACTAGTCAAGCTGCCAAGCATTTCTTGAAAAATTTGCTCCTAAAATTATGGACTAATTCGCAGACTTTAAATCTTTGGGCCATTGTTAAAAGAAATATGAGAAAATGCATACGAAAAATCTAGATCGATTAGAACATTTTATGGAGTTCTATTTCAGAAACTCTCTCTAATTAGTTTGGTAGGATCAATAAGAGACCGTGTGAGCTAGTGCTAGAACATAATGGCGATCGAGTTTCCCAATAACAATGCTTCAAGCTTTCAAATGATATATCATGCGACATAATGTTGGCTATGCAAAATGAGCAAGTTAATTTGTCCAAATTTTTTTTTTTTTGCAACCCTGTATTACCTGACGGAATTTACATACGACAAATAAGATAAAAATAATAGGGACTTGCCGATCAAATACAAATGAAGAATTCTGTCAATATGCGGCTATCTAATTTACTGATCATCTGCAACAACGCTTGATTGTACTACGGTAGTGACGCAGCAAATTAAGTACAAGTGGAAGAGTACGCACATTCTTCACACTTCGCTAACTATCAAGTCATTGACAAATAATGTCTCGACAGCAGAGACTCGACCAACTATTGAAGATTGACACAAATGATGCACTTGAAACGAGATATAGAGGGGCAGAATATTTTATGCATGGATTATATGAAAATGCTTTGATAGATCTTGGTAAATCTTTGGAATATGAACCCAATAATACACTAACATTGAGATTAATAGCAGAGACTTACTGCATGCTTAATCAGCATATTCATGCATCAAACAATCTCAATAAAGCTTTGGACATTAAACCAGAAGATGCAACTGTATTAAGAGCAAGAGGGGAAGTTGATATTAATCTTGAACTGTATAATAAGGCATTAGAGCTGGCATACCAAAGGTTAAGAGAAAAGGGGGAAGACTATCTTATCCTTAAACAGCATGATGATGCATTAAAGAATTTCAATAAAGCTTTGGATGTTAAACCAAATATAAGAGTATTGAGAGAGCTGACATATCAAGGGTTAAGAGAAAAGGGGGAAGGCTATCTTAACCTCAAACAGTATGAGAATGCATTAAAGAATCTCAATAAAGCTTTGGACATTAAGCCAGAAGATGCAATAGCATTAAGGACAAGAGGAGAAGTCTACCTTAACCTTGAACAGTATGATGATGCATTAAGTGATCTCAATAAAGCTTTGGATGTTGAACCAGAAGATGCAATAGCATTAAGAACAAGGGGAGAAGTCTACCTTAACCTTGAACAGTATGATGATGCATTAAGTGATCTCAATAAAGCTTTGGACATTGAACCAGAAGATGCAATAGCATTAAGAACAAGAGGAGAAGTCTACCTTAACCTTGAAAAGTATAATGATACATTAAGTGATCTCAATAAAGCTTTGGACATTGAACCAGAAGATGCAATGAGAGGAATAGTCCAGTTTAACACTGGACAGTATGATGATGCATTAAGGAATCTCATTGAACCAGAAGATGCAATAAGAGGAATAGTCCACCTTAACATTTACACTGGACAGTATGGCAATGCATTAAAGAATCTCAATAAAGCTTTGGTTATTGAGCCAGAAGATGCAATAGCATTAAGGACAAGAGGAAAAGTCTACCTTAAGCTTAAACAGTATGATAATGCATTAAGTGATCTCAATAAAGCTTTGGATATTAAACCAGAAGATGCAATAGCATTAAGAATGAGGGGAGAAGTCTACTTGAATATCAGACAGTATGATAATGCATTAAAGAATCTCAATAAAGCTTTGGACATTAAGCCAGAAGATGTGATAGCATTAAGAACAAAAGGAGAAGTCTACCTTAACCTTGAACAGTATGATGATGCATTAAGTAATCTCAATAAAGCTTTGGACATTAAACCAGAAGATGCAATAGCATTAAGAATGAGAGGAGAAGTCTATCTTTACCTTGGACAGTATGATGATGCATTGAACAATCTCAATAAGCTTTGGTTATTGGACCAGAAGATGCAATAGCATTAAGAACAGGGGAAAAGTCTATCTCAACCTTAAACAGTATGATGATGCATTAAGAAATCTCAATGAAGCTTTGGACCTTGAACCAGAATATGCAATGGTAATAACATTAAGAACAAGAGGGGAAGTTTACCTTAACCTTAAACAATATGATTATGCATTAAATGATCTTGATAAAGCTTGGGACATTGAACCAGAAGATGTAAGAGCATTAAGAACAAGAGGGGAAGTCTACCTTAACCTTGAATGGTATTATGATGCATTAAACAGTATCAATAAAGCTTTGGACATTGAACCAGAAGATGCAATAACATTAAGAACAAGAGAAGAAGTTTACCATAAACTTTTTTTTTATAATGATGATGAATAGTATTAGATTGGCTTTAGAAATAACAGCTTTGGACTAAATTTTGCAATCAATTTATCTATGACCTTGGGTCTTTTTAATATAAACCAGACCATTATTGTAGAATATGATTGGAGATTCATAATTCAGAAGCAATAACTTGCCAAAAATTTAACATTTATTTAATGTCTTTATTAGCACTATAAATTCAATGGCTTAATGATATTAATGACTGATTTGCTCTTTTATTTGTTGATATTAATGATATTGGCTTGGCTTTCAAAATTCAGCTAAAATCATTTCTCTATCATAATCAAAAGTCAAATAAAAATGGTTTATTTTTTAGTATTATATATTAGGGTTGGTAAGTGTTATAAATCACTGTACATTTTTTATTTGTCTTTTAATCCATTTTATATTCAGGTTATTTGACAGTTTAATAGTTATTATTATTATATTCAGCTGTTGATATAGAAGGTGTATATAAAATTCTGAGCAATTATAGGCCATAATAATATGCCAATTGAATCAATTTAAAAAGCTAAAATTCAACAAGAAAGGGAAGTGGCAACAGGATGTCCCATAGAAACTTCCAGAAATATTACCATTTACAAAAATATGAAAGAATTAAGAAAAGACTCTAAAGTAAAAGTGTTTCTCTCGTGAATTTTCCCGTCTAATTTTAGATGCATAATACTGCTTAGTATGTCGAAGAAATAAATGACAGCACTGAGGTAACTATTGTCAGTACTGGTAGTGCGTTAAAAGTTTAAAAACGTTTGCTTATTTTGTTTAAAGTAGAAAACACAGGTGAACAGAAAATCTTGAAAATTAATATACACTTATTACTATCCTCATATAATCTCATTATGTTTACGAGTCTTCACGCTTTTGTGGTGAGTTACTTTATAGTATGCTATCTTTGTCTGTACAATCGTTCGCTTCATAACAAACGCAACGTTTCTAACGAGGCTATCCGAGCCTTGGGTCCACATACTCGTAAATACACGAATTTATTATCATGCAACAAATTTTGACGCGAAACCAATTCTGATTTGTTTGCGTAACTATAAAAGGTGGACGTCAGCTCTTTCTTACCAAAAATTTCGCCTCCAGACCCTTATGTTCTAGTCCGTCACACATAACTATCCAGTTCTACAGTCAAGATCGTTCACGCCTGTATAAAATTATAAAATCGCGTGATTAAGTACGTGATAATGTGAATTCATCGGTCCCAGCGGTATGCAAATGGACAGGTGCAACTGTATTGCTTATACAATGCTGTAAAAAATCAGCAATGGATACATTACGATTGCTTGACTGGTAAGATGTCTGCAGTCAATAAACAAAAACAGAACTCAGACCGCTGATGCTTTACGGCACGATTCGTATTTATTATTATTGTTAATCACGCACTAGGATAGCAAATAATTAACGCTTTTTACAAGTTCTCCAATTTTCAGTAGAGTATGGTGTTTTCTGACAAATTGTGGACCTTGAATAAATATTAGAATCACTACTGTTGCATCATAGCGCAATTTTGAGACTGAAAATGATGTTTTAAGAACTAAATGATGTAATTCTTCTCTGCCAAATATTTCTTCAATAAACAATTAATTCGACATGATATTTGTATCCAAGGCTACTATACTGATGAAAAATGTCAAAACCTGATTAAATGTTTTTGGCGTACAAGATCACTATGCTCGAAAAGTAAGAATGGTGTGTATCATGTTATCGACGACATAGGGCTCCTGATTTAAAGGATCAGAGTCATATGACTTCCAACTTTGTTTGACGACCCCAGGGCGGAGATATTTTTATTATTTTCCATCTTATGAATGACCATAATAATAAATTCTATCGCTTTGATTACAGTATTCGATAGTAAGTCAGACTTATAGTTTATACATAGAATTCCTAAATTGCTTTGTACCTTATTATAATGTATTTTACCAACATTAATTGATTTCTTAGTGAACGGTGCTTTATCCAGAAAGGGCAAGTCAATACGACCATTGAAAACGTGAATTAAGGGAGCAGATGAATTCAAGTTAGTATTAAACAACGTGCAGTGATAAATACCATGTGATTCAGATCTTCGAAAAAAGATTTGTAAAACGAAAGTGAAGCAAATGATTTGTCATTTAAATTAATAATTAGTATAACTCATTAGTTAATTTCTTTTTCATACAAAGGCTTGATATTATAGACATAGTATCGTTGGGTTTGAGACTTCAGATAAAGATATTGTTACAATTGCACAGAATTCTATTCCTTCTACTCCGCGAATGAGAGATTTCATCTGATCCACGTTCTGCATGTCCATCCTTGCTTATAAAGTTTTTACAGATTTACCCTTCAATGGGACCCGAAAATGAATGGTTGAAATTAGCAGCAGGAGGCAGTAAAATGAAAACCATAATTTTTTCTCCTTGCTGTCGATCAGTTAGAGTTTATTGATTAAATATAATAATAAATAAATTCAATGGTTTAAATTCTAATCGAAAACTCCCTTCCCCAATAAATATGACTTAAAATTGTTTCATTCTATAGAAACTGTCAAGTTACAAAGGAATTTAGAATACAGTAATAGAATTTACATGGTACATGAATTTTTACTATGCATTAGGTTGTTGAAAGTCAATTCTTAAAGCTTTATCTGCGGAACATAAATCACATATAAACACTCGTCTTCCATAATCAGCGCACGCGAAACACCGATACATATCACGTTTGCGACAACCCCATGCACAAGGCGTTCTAAACGCTGCCCTTCCATTATTACAAGAATCACACCACGGTATTTGTACCGAACACGTTTCTTTTCCCGTTAATCTTTTCATTCCCACCTCCAACTCACGTTTGTTGCTGCTCGTCCACCAATATTGTTGAGCAACATACCCCTCTCTCTCCATGTAGAAATAGATCGTTTCTAATTTGAACGGCGTATCTTTGTTTTCATCTGCCAATTTACAAACCAATGTCGTCACTGTTTCTATAGTGATGTCTTGTTGGTTTAGCCGTAAATGGATAGCCACTAGGTTTGGACACAGGAAAAGAATGGTGCGGGTTGTTCCAAGCAATACATGGGTGTCATTCAGATATAGCTCGCGAATGAAATGTCTTGTTTGTTGCGGTAGGCGTTTACAGAATATTTCTAGCATAGCTTCATTAGAGATAGATTTAATGCGGTTGAGGTTAAGGCGAGACCATAATAAATCATGGTTGTATACAAAATAATGAAGGCATTTGCAAACTAGTGTTATCACTGATAAACGAGTATGAAGGGAAGTCAGGAGGAGGATAATCCCAAGAAGTTCAGCAGGAAAGTGAATGAGCATACTTATTTTTAAATGTAATAAAACGGCAGGCTTGTCAATTTTATATTCTACGATGTTTGGCGCAGTTCATGTTACAGAATGTGCTAGAGATCCAAGAATCTAAATCACATGATTATCCCAAACTAAATTTCTGAACGAAAGTCAAGGTTAAAAATAAATAAAGACCTCGAAACCTCAAGGTTAAAAATAAATTGTAAAGAAGTAATTCCTGCCTGCATTAGTGCCGTAATTAATGGTCTTCGAAGAATCGATAAATAAGTCTAATACTGTCTCCGAAGTATCGGCACGGTCGAGTACGACGTTGTTTTAATAAACTTGCAGTATGTGCATGTCTGTATATCGAAATGCAATACTCGTCACGATAACTACGCCTTTAATAGCTTGAGTACCTTGTAACCAGAATGATCATTTTCAAGAAAAATTTAAGTATTACCCATTATGTGGGATATCTCACTAAATTAATAGCAGCTAACCAAGCCATTATCAGCATGAGTTTTAAAAAGCAATTGCTATTCGCTGCCTGTCTCGCAAACTCATAATTTAGATAAGAACAATTTTTGCGACTTTTGCTACCCATGACACAATCTATAATTGACGGCAATGAATAAAATAATTGCATATTGGAAAAGCGATAAAAATCGTCGAATCGACGACAGAGATTTTATCGTCGTCACCCGATGCCGATGTTCCCATGCTTATCGTGACGAGCTATCATATATATGTCATGTTCGCCTAGATCCTCGGTTGACATACGCGAACCATCGCCATTTCCTTCAACTTCATGAGTAAGTAGAAATACGTGTATACTTTTAGTTAAAAAGGCGTTATTGCTGAAATTGAAAGCTTCGACGGAAGAATAATGAGAAAGGGATGTTAAGCTTAATGCCCTTATATAAAAAGTAAGAAACAATAAAGAGGTAATGATTTATCAAATTAACATTTCGACTAAATTAAACATGGTTTGATCTATCAAGAAATCCCGATTATAATAGGTACAGTAAGGGTGAAAAATAAGTAAATAATAAATATCAAAATAGTTTTCTTACAAACTAGTGTGGAACGTGAAAGTATTATGAGAAATTGCTGACTAGTCCATATCCCAATTGTTGTGGTTATGCAATAGTTTCTGTATGAAATTGTTATGAGAATAAAGTTTATGTAAAGCTTGCAAAAATCTATAAAATTTACAAAATTGATGAATGCTAATTAAGAATTGAATATTATCATGTAGCACGCAGGATGCTCTCATTCTCCATAATGACTAAACTCTTAACAATCCCTCAACTCTTCGCCAAATTCAATGTTCTATTCCAAACCGCTTCAACCTGTTAATGCCAAGACAGTCCATGTCAACTCTTCTCCTTCTTGACCCTTGTGTCTATAAACAGTCTACATCAATAATGTCCTTCTCTTCACGTCACCAGTTGAAAGAGATTTATTTCTCATCGTTATTCTTATGTGCGTCCAATAAATCTGGAATTTCAAATTTGTAACAGTTGGGGTAGACGAATTTCTCACAAAAGAGATTACGGAGTTTGGATGTCAATATATGAGTCACTTTGGGTACGCTTTCCAGTTTTGAACAAGAACCAATGAGAGATTGTACGTCAAAGCATAAAGCAAAGTCGGGGAGGGCCGATGTCGCTATTGAAGTCGATTGATGAGTGTTTACAATCTCGAGAGTTATCTAAATTAGGAATCGATAAAAAAAAAGATCCCGTAATATCATAAGTCTCGTCGAATTGGCATCGTTCAGTGAATACATTCCCACCAAATCACCTTTGCATTATGCATATAAATATTACCGTAGCCGAGAACTTGACTACTGATACTACCATAGAAATAGGCAACACAGCTATTTTTGGCTTTGGCCAATTTATGAATATGTGCGTATCAATGCCCAGGGTGATTTGATCCGTAAAATCACAATCAACCTCAACACGCTGTGATGTTAATCAATCAAATTAGTCAAGACAATCAAAACGTTCAATAATGCAGGTTGAAATAATCAAAATACCATTCTCCCTGGCTGTTCAGATGGCCGTATTCGTGCATTATTAAACATAGGATACTCTTCACCTAAATTCAGCTGAGTAACTTCAATTGGACCCTGCAACGCAAAGTCATGACAAATCAGTTTACTAATAATCATTAAATGCTAATTACCCATGACAAATTCTTTCTCACATGACAAGTAATGGACATGTAAAGCAACTAGTAAAGATGACTCACGACGAAATCCGGTTGGTCGCCACTGTTAAGCGCCTCATAGACTATGCGAAGCAGTCTGTTATTCGCTTGCGCCTCAGTCCTATATTGTTGTATTGCCTGCGCTAGCAATACGTTTAACCAATCTACTGATTCGGGTGCGTGATGTAGCGGATCATACAGCGTTTTGGTGAGAATCGCTGAAGCAGGTGGTATTGTTATAGTTTTTGGAGTTGTCGGTGGTGGTATTAAAGGAATGCGCTGGGTGGAATGCCAAGAAAATCTCAGAATCTGTCGTCAGGTTAATTAATCTTTAAAAAAACCCCCCCGTTTACCTTTTTTGTTGGATTCTGCACATTTTCGAATAACATAAATTTCACAAAAGCTAACACTATTAAAAGGACGGTAAGCTGGCCAAGTAAGAATCCCTGGGTAAACGACCAGCTTCCGCTAGGAGAATTTAAGACGGCCTTATCCACGTAGTCGCGTATTTGAGATGGAATTTCAGAAGACATTCTCGGCAAGGTAATACTACAACTCCCAACAGTTATTATGATCTTCGAACACGTGACACGGAGTACACTCGATAACATTTTACTGAAAAATTAACAAATAAATGTGCCAGTATTAGCATGCTCTTATGTTTAATGAAGCAGCAGAATAAATTTTACAAAGTAATAAAATTCAATTTCATTTTTCGTGACTCGATCTAAAATCTACCATGAATGGGAGAATTTGTCACGCTTCATTAAACTTGCGCTGTTCTAGAAATATATATATATAACATACAAAACAGAGCTTTCACGGACTCTTTGGCGGTGGATTCGTTTGTCAGGCTTACCCGGATGCGGAGAAAGTCTACGTGACAACTTAGACACTCTATCATTGTCTTCATCTTGTAATTGTTTGATCATATTTGCTGTATTGATCAAACCTTCCTGAATAAAATGGATAGAAGTCAATAACCTGATAAGAAATAAAAAACATCTGCAAAAACAGTTAAAATATTCCAGAACAAGACCATAAAATCAAAAAGATGTTTTTTCTGCTCTTTATAACAGACTGGAACGATTGCTTTGTGCGTGCGCCCCCATTGCAAAATCCCTCGAGCGCGGTTGTGCATTTGCCAAATTTTAATTTTATCTTCTATAATACAAATCAGAGGAGACAAACTATTTGATATCAATTATTCACAAATGCAAATAATATTCACCATGAGTATGTACGAAAAAGACATATGGGTGATGCTTTTCGATACCTCTCGCTCATCTCCTCAAGCATGTACATATTGCCTAAAGGGCAGATCGTAGATCGCGGGATCTCGCAGTGGCCATACTAATACCCCCAGACATTTCTAGATATCCGATCTCAATACACGACTTTTTCAGGCGTGCTAGAAATATACCATCTGCTTTTTGTTCGAAAGACTCGCACTTTCGCCGTATGTCTTGGTTTAAAAGTTTTGACGTATTTGTCCGCAGTTTGTAATCTATCAAAATTTTTTGTTCTTCAAACAAGATTGATAGACGATAGGATAGCCTCTCCCTTAAAAAAAGGCACATTTTAGTTATACAGTATATTGTATAATAATGCAGCAAGTGAAAAGAAATTTACGGTTTATAAGCACCATTTTGATTTTTCAATTACAACTACTAGTTCACAATGGACAATACCCCATACTTCTGGTCTAACATAGTTTGATTAATTTATTGCAAACACAAACTAGCAATATCAGCCATAACTAACCTCATCAAATGACTATTAATACCAGCTGCCACTTTAAAAGGTCAATTACTTTCAGGCCAGACTTTAGAGTCCGTTCATTGTAGTCAAAAGGATGCTCATTATGCTCAACATTATATTCCTTTTCAGCCTCTACAAGAGCAATTCTGGATCCAATATCTGTCCATTATATTCAGTGGAAAATCCTTTGCCTGGAGTATCAAAACATAGAAATTTAATAAACTAAGTAATTAGTCAATTTTCCAGCCAACCACAATTTGATCAAATGTTCATAATACAGTATAAAGTTTTCACCCTTTGTTCTGAGACATGCTATCAGGCATGTTTTAATCAGAAATTTATTTCTGTGAATACTGGTTTGTTCTATTTACATTCTATTGTTTATTACAGTATATATTAAAGAAAATACAATTTCAACCAATCACGTTGATTAATAATTCTTGCTTTGTATTGCTAACAAAGGTTTCACGATCAGGTGTCCCTCTGATATAATAATAATATTTTAACAATTGTGGGAAAGCTATAATAAACAACAATGATCTATGAACAAATATATAAAAGTTGGCATTTATACAAACTTCTCATGCACATCAAACGCTGACGGTTACAGGTATTTAGTATTATATCTTTTTGAACCGAGGTCAAAAAACGTGCGATTGTTGTCTTTGACCAATCATATCTTGTTGACAAGTTAGCGTGGCATATACTGCGCCTACCCCGAACAACCTACCCAAATTGCACAGATTGCGCCCTTTTCAGACGTTTTTGATGGGCAAAATTCTTTGGACATAGTCCAGGAACTTGTATTTCAGTATTCCCGCTAATATTTTGATAATACACTCTTCTTTTCTTTTTCTTCTTCGTTTTCTCTTATTAATATACAGATTTAACAAAAATTAAATAAGAAATGGCAGCTACTAGCCCGTCAGAGTTTAGTAATCCATTAAGGAAGTTTAAGTTGGTGTTTCTGGGTGAACAGAGCGGTACGTTATAGTGTATTACGCTAGTTTCGGTCTCCATCTTGAGTGCGTGAGGAGCAGGATACACAGAGTCATGTTGCTGGACGTTAACATTTGTCCCTTTCTTTCTATTCATTTCCTATCCATTTCGTCGCTGCACTGGCTTTATTGAACCCCATTGTGTACGGGTTGTAACTGAAGTTGGGAAGACTTCGTTGATTACACGATTTATGTATGATACTTTTGACAACACGTATCAGGTGAGCATCTTGTTGCTTATTATATTATATCAGGAATATGGAGATGATAGTTAACTTCTATCTATTAACAGGCTACAATTGGGATAGATTTCTTATCGAAAACAATGTACTTGGAAGACCGTACTGTGCGGTTGCAGCTATGGGATACTGCTGGACAGGTAACGAGAAGCAGTTCCTAGTTAGTTGCCGTATATTTAGATTTCGTTCTAACATTACAACTAATTTAATTCACATAGGAACGTTTTAGAAGTCTCATTCCCAGCTACATTAGAGATTCCTCTGTCGCCGTAGTTGTATATGATATTACAAGTGCGTTTAATTTATTATCATTGGTTTCTATTCTAATTTAATTGTACATTGGGTAAACTTGAGATTCTTCCTTGATGCACCCACAAAATATCAGACCGAAATTCATTTATGAACACTGCGAAATGGATTGATGACGTTCGCGCTGAACGTGGTAATGATGTCATTATTGTATTAGTTGGTAACAAGACCGATTTGAATGATAAGAGGTAATACTATACTGTTGTGACTAATCTCAGGCTTAGCGTATTATAACTTAATATAATGTTACATTACATTGCATTACATATCATTACATTATGCAGGCAAGTTCAAACAGATGAAGGAGAAAAGAAAGCTAAGGAATTCAGTGTCATGTTTATTGAAACTAGCGCAAAGGCTGGTCATAATGTCAAAACACTTTTCCGGAAGATTGCGCAAGCTCTTCCTGGAATGGAGAATACAATGAATGAGCCACAGAATCAGCGTAAGTGTCTTTTTCTGTGAGAGCATGACCGACTCGCTAATCACTTGCAACTAGTTGAGGTCTAACTTAACCCTTATTTGTCCAACGTTTTGTCTTCCTCTTTCCAGTTATCGACGTCAACATTAGTTCTGGATCACAGAATAATAACGAAGGCTCGGGTTGTACTTGTTAATATATGTACTATTATTATACACGTAATGATTGAATATTAGATTATATGTACACTAAGTAACTAGTTAAGTTCTAGTTCATTATTCCCACCCGCCCAATAGATTTAAACAAGATCTTCGCTACCCAAACCCTTTTGTATTTTTTTGATCTTATTTTGTATTATGTCCACACATCTTGAATATTGTTTTCTTCTGTTAATCTTCTTTCTGTTCGCCTTAACTACGGATGGCTCACGGATTCTTATTGGCTTGTCTTCGGTCTTTGCTACCTATTACTATGCAGTGCACATAATGTAGTTATGTCTGATTTACGTTATTGTCATGAGTTTTGCATAATGTTGCTTTTGGTATGATTATTATTATATGAGCCCTATAATATCGTCTGATTTGGAAATAATTAAAGGATACTTTTTAGAGTTGAAACCATATACGGGATACCTTGCTAACGGTGGTAGCTTGCATTTATTCATGCTGTCTAGAGAATTAATAGTACTTAATTTGGCCCGTGTTTGGGACTGTTGCGTTTTTTGTTAGCGTTTTTTACCAGATTTTCTGGTCCACAAATTTGCCTAAAACATATTAATATCGATGCTGGTAAATGGAATTCGTCTCAATATTATCGTTAATATCATAGCAATGAAATTTAATGAAGTAATTTTATTATCTGTTGATACACGGTGATTCCCGATATAATGATTCCCCGATAAGATGAAGTTGGCCTAATATTCCGGAACGAAGTCGGTTATATAAATTGAGCTCGATATAATGTCGATCTCGACATTATTATGAAGTATGTAAATCATAAGTATAATTGGCAATCACACCATTAATGCAAATATTCGACGTTGTTAAATTCTCTTTAACTCTTTTCGACAATTAAAAATCAGGTGAATGATAGAAAAACTTGCAATAAGCGGGTTGCTCGTTCAAAAAAAATTGATGTCTAAAAAGAAAGTTGCTCGCTAAACTATATTTGGAATTAAAGAAGATACTGTCTCTGTTATTCTTAAAAGTTCTTCGTATTGACTGGCTCTAAATGAAAAATTCAACTCCAGCGAAGAGAAAATGCGAACGAATTCTGTAATTAAAAGGGCTCCTTATATGTACTTAGAGTACGCAAATCAAGTTTCCCAAGTCAAATCTGGTCATGTTTTGCAAAGAAAAGCAAATATCGAGAGCTTTAATGCATCAGACGGCTAGCTTTCAAATTTTACAATCTCCGCGAAGTTCGATTGACGAACGACTGAGAATTACCAGTTAGAAGACATCTACAATCGTGATAAGACAGCGTTATATTAGCAACAGCTGGCCGTCTTCTGGGACCAAGAAGTCAAAACAACGCGTTACAATCTTATCAACAGTCAACGCTACCGGAAGCCATAAAATAAAATCGTTGCTTATTAATAAATGGTCAATACCACGCTCGCTGGAAAAATCGATAAACGTCTCTGTCTGTTCACTATTTTAATCGATTTCAATACTTGATTGTACACTGTTTGTTATTAGATACAATACGAATTATTAACTTATAATTGATACCGTACAACACAACATATGGAATTATAATATACTGAAGGCCTGATTTCATTGATACGTTTGTAATACAGTAAT